AGGGGGCGGGGGGGGGGGGGGGGGGGGGGTCACACCCCCAATCGTGACAGGACGAGGAACTGACGACACGGTCGCTGCCTAGACAGAGGCCAGTATCGCGAGGTCATGCACAGCCCTTGCCCTCTGTAGGTATTGTATCCAAAATTAAGGGTTTTGTGCGTCTAGTTGGCGGCACACGAGCCGAAAACTTCAACCCTGCCACGTTGCTCCGCTGACGTTCTCGCCTCTCGGCCGAAAAGAGCCGGGCTTTTTTTATGCCTGCTGCATGTGTGACCAGTCTTAAACGCACACGCCAGAGAGAGGCTTTATAGGCCGATGACATCCACAAACTGCAGGCAGCGAGCGGCGTGTGGTCATACACATACTCTCTGCTCGCGTCCCAGAAACAGGGCGTATTGTCCAGTTTTGGTTGCACATGGCCTGCAAACGTCAATCGAAAGTGTTTCAGTGTTGACTTTTTGGATGCTGCCCTTTTTTTGGTCGCTCCATTTGTGGTCAGTTTACAGCGCATGCCAGTAGTAGGCCTTATCTCCACGGCATCCACAAACTGCAGCCAATAGCGCGCGGTAAGACACACGCCCTCTGCAGGCGACCCCAAATCAGGGCGCTGTGTGTCATGTTGGCCGCACACGAAATGAGAACGCGAATGAAGCATGTTGTGACCCAAGTAAAAACTTGAATCGGTCTTTTTTTCCACTGGGCAAAAAGTATGTCTCGTGGATCCTAAAGAAGGTCGCTCGGATCTGAAGTTGTTTTCCTTGCAGGCCACCACTCCCTCTCAGGAGGAGAGAAAAAATAAATGAAAAAACGGTGCCCTATGTACAAGAAACGAACGGCCTAAGGTAGTAGCTGACGTGTTTTGTTTGTGTTTGCATCCCTTGGGGTCGTGTACGTTGAGGCTGCCGCACCTAACCTAACCGGTGCACTTGCCACGTTTTCGGAGTTCACGCCACAGTACGAAAACTACTCGTCGTGTGCGTCTGTGTTGAGATTTATCTGACCGTTCTCGCCGTCTCCCATGCTCCCCCTTCTGCCCGCCCGTGCGCGCGTTTTTTCTCCCCGCTACTGCTTCGTTTTTGTTGTTGCTGCTGCTGCTGCTGCTGCTGCTGCTGCTGCCGCTGGCTGGCCTTTTTTTTTTTTTTTTCTTGTCTGTCTCGCTTGCTGCTTTTTTCGTGGTTTGTGTCTGCGTGCGTGGTGGTGGGCTTTTTTTGGTTGACTTTTGTCGCACGTGTTTTTTTGTGTGGGGACTGCTTTTGTGATGTGTGTGTGTTGTGTTTTTTTTTTTTCGCGGGACCCAGTTCTTCTTGAACACGCTGATCGTGTCTCTCCTGGCCGGACTGGCCATGGACCTCAGCAGGATCATCCCCCTCATCATCAAGACCATCCTGGGAGCGGTAGGTTGCGAGTGTCTAAAGTATGCCAATTTTGATCGATTGGACTCATATCACACCGTGCTACCATGTGAAACCGGAAGTGCATACCACCGCGCTACATTCTGTAGCCGGCTGACCGCCTACATGTAGAAGTGTCAAGTGGTATGTCGCTCTTGATTGGCTTTTGGACCGCGCTATATGTAGCCGTCTGACCGTGTGCGTCGGTACTACTGTTGAACAGTGTTTTACTGCGTATGGTCGCGGCAGAAGGAGCACAGATAGCGTGGGTGCGCAGCCTGTATCGCTGCGGCCTTGCATGTAGCTTTGGGCGATCAAAGCAATTCCTCCACTCATGTATCGACCTAACCACTGCCTGCCCTTTGCTTTTTACTCGAGTCGCTCCTCCTGCCCCCCCTCGCTGTTTGTTCATTTCTTCGCGATGCACTGCTGTGCTGTGTACACTGCTACGGCTTGCGTGACGCAACCACATAACCCTAATACAATTAGCTTAGCGATGACCGTCGCATCTCTTCCCTCGCTGTTTTTTTTTTTTTCTACTGTGCGTTGTGCTGTTCGCTGCTGCTGCTTATACGTGACGCAACTCTGTTGCACTTGTAACGTAATAGCTGGCCAATGATGTTGGCAAGTCTGACCGTGAGCTGAGGAATGCTCAGGCCGCGCCGTCGTTGAACTGGGGTGTCTTCTACCCGCAGCTGTGAGTAGTATGTAGTATATTAGTATATAGTTATTTATGTATCGTTCTTCCCCGGCCTGTGTGTGTGTGTGTGTGTTTTGTTTTTTATTTTTATTCCCTGCTGGGACTGCCTACGCCGAGAAAGTAATATAAGTTTTTTTTTATTTTTACGAAGAACGACCGTAACCCTATCCCTAACCCCCAACCCCAAGTGAAGCCGATCCTGTACTTTGTCCAGTATGCTTTCTTACTGATGAAAATCTGCGCAGGCTACTGCCCGAATCTCACGATGATGTTGTTGTGTCCTTGGCTTTGGGTATGTTTGCTGTCGTAAGTACTGCTGTACCTCCATGTGCATATTTTGTTTTTGTATGCGGTCGTCACGTGGTGTTAGTGTTACGAAGTATTACATTTTCTATTGTAGTAGTTCTCAGATTTCTGTCTTGGGCATTCTTTTTTTGTGTCCCGACCTTCTTCGTGGCGTTTTTTTTTTTTTTTCTGGCCTCTCTCCACGGTTTGTCATTAATCGACCGATCGATCTCTTCGACCTGTCTTCTGTAACCCGGCGTGTCAACCCCCCGCCCCCTCCCCTCTCTCTCTCTTCTCCTCCGCCCAGGCTGTTCGTGCTCCTGATCGTGTTCTGCTACGCCGCCATCGCCCCGATCGTCCTGCCCACGGCCAGCTTGCTCTACCTGGGTTCCTACCTGGTGTACAAGAACCAGGCTCTGTACGTCTACGTGCAGACGGCGGAGAGCGGGGGAGGGGTGAGTGCTGTACGCGTGTGGGGAATAAATCGTAAAGTATGTGCTTGTGGCAGGCAACCCCACGACACGTGCGTGCAGGCAGCACTGCTTCTGTGGTTCGAGCTCACCGAGTGGCAGCAGCAACGAGATTTTTGCGACCACGCCACAATTCATGCAACAAGGTGTGATACGTGACGTCGCTGGTTGTGTGTGGAGCTTGAGTCGCAGCAGCAACCAGATTCATATGACCACGCCACAACAGATGCAACATCATAACATCATAACATATCATATGTGATGTTGCTGGCTGTTTGGAGTCGCAGCAGCGAAGAGAATTCGTATAACAACACCACAACAAAGCAACCACATGCGTTGATGGCTGTGTTTTGAGGTCCAAGTCGCGTTTCATTGAGGTCCAAGTCGCGTCAGAAACGAGATTCTCATGACCAACGCCACAACAAGACCCACGACACACGCAAGGGTATGACACGTACAGTAAGGAAGGAGGCGGGGGAGACAGCAGCAGCTTCCCGCAGCCGCAGCCGCAGCAGCCGCGGTCGCGGTCTCCTCCGGCAGCGCAGGTGGTAAGAAAGGGCGTTGGGGCACCGGGAGATCCAACGCCAGCGACATGACTCGAAGCACATACGTAGGTCAACGTCACCGCGCCTCGCCCGGGCCACGCATCGCTGACGTTGGCCTTCGTAGTGCCCACCCGCTTTTTTTACCACCAACGCGACCGGGGGAACCGTGACCGCGGCTGCTGCGGCTGTGGGAAGCTGCTGCTGCTGTCGTTCCCCGTCTCCTTCTTCCACCTTCCGGCGAGAGACCGCCCGGAAGTACCGCTGCTGCTGTATTTTGAGGTCACCGCGTCTCAGCGGCAACGAGAGGGTTGCGTCGGGTCTGGAAAAAGGGAATCGAGCTCTAGGTCTCTTTTTCGAGTTTCGCTTCTCTCGCGGGACTGCTGTCATTTCGCGGTATTAAGCATTTTTGCTTTTTTTTGTTCGTCGGTCACAACCATGACCTCCCCTCTGCTTGATTCCTGTGTGTCCTTCCTTGCTTGTGTTTATGTCGTACAGAACCTGCTTTGTTCGTCCAGTCTCTTTGCTGCATCTTTCCGTTCGCTCAAGCCGTGTGATCTCACCTGTCTTTTTTCCCTGTCTGTTGTTACTGTTTGTTTGCATGGATGGCAGTCCATGTACCTGCTGTTCAGCTTCAGCATGGCATGTCTGTACATCGGGGAGGTGGTTTTCCTGGCCTACATCGGCATCAAGGAAGGCGCCTACGAGACGATCGCTGCGGTCGTGCTCATCTTCATCACCATCTTCTGGCACATGCATGTACGTGGAGATTCGTTCACGCTTCACCCCTTTTTTGCCATCGCTCTGGTTTTTCTAGTTGTTGTTGTTGTTTTTGTTGTTGTTGTTTTTGTTGCTGTTGTCTTGGCATTAAAAACCGTTCCGGTCTCCGCTCATACCTTTCGATATCCGTACTGGTCCGACTGATGCAGACACCTTCCGTGGTCACAAGCCATCTACCCAAAGAGGGGTATGCCTTTCTACTGTACGACTCGGGTTGATTCTGCCGACAGTATCGCCTGGAAATAAACCAAGCAAATGGCGAATGGGATACAGTATTTGTACAGGGTGTGAAAGGTTACCGACCCAAGCTCTAGTACCGTGCAGAAATCGCCCATGATTTTACTCCATCTCCTCGTGCGTGTGATGGGAATGAATGAATGAATTAATTAATTAATGGCCGTCGTTGTTCGTTGTTATACCATAGGTGAACAAGAAGTTCGTGGAGATGTCCAAGGTCCAGTGCCTCGAGGCCGCCGTCGCAGCAGACAACAAGCTTCTCAAGGCCACCGCTGCCCAGGGACCTTCGTCGTCGGCTGACCATCCCTTCGAGGGCAAGGCCTACGTGCAGGTCAGGGACGATTTTTTTTTTTGTGGTTATAAAATTGAGTTGGTCGATGGTAGATATGTAACACTCGCATGGATGTAGCGGATTAAGGGCGAGCGGGGTAAACTGAACCGGCATCTCATGCAGCTACTGCGACCGACGAAGCCACTCGTGATTCTCGGCGTGTTCCTTCAGTTTTCACGAAAAAGAGATGGGGATGACCTGACGCGTATGATACGATGTGGTGTATTCGCCGCCACAAGGCCACAAGAAGATTGTGTTGAGATGTAACCTTTCTGATAGGTGTATCCCTACCAACGGTCACTTGTAGCAACAGGTTATGAGCCTCGCTACGTCACAGCAAAATGGGAGAATCAAAAACAACATCTACCAGATCCCTGACGTATCTTGTCTGCTCATGCGGGATGCTAGCCTACCTCACAGTTTATACGTTATCAAGAATTCCTTCGTAAATTCGACTTTATGATGACTTGATTCTCCCCCTTTTGCTGTCATGTAACGAATGTAACGAGGCTCAAACCTGTTGTGATGTTACCATTTGATAGGTGTATCTACAATCCCTAGCAGTGGTCACTTGTGGTGTAGTAACAGAGTGCAGAGGCTCACAGAGTGACTGTAGAGTACACTTGCGTTGCAGTCCAGAAAAGAGGGTTTGAATTGGCGCTTTGTTGGCCGAAAGGTAAGAAGAGAGAAAGGAGAAGGAGTAGGAGTGAGTGAGCGAGTGGGGGCGAGCACCACGGGGGCGAGCCATCCATCGTCATCACGGAAAGGAAACACACACGGGCTATTGCAACGTACCGATCACGGTAATAGACGCTCAATCCGAC